TATGTTCTCACAAAACTGTTTATATTTGTATTTACAATAGCTCTTGTTATAGCACAAACTAGAGAAAATTTAGACATTCTTCTGAGAACGAATCATTAAATAAATTGGTACATCCATATAAAGGAATAATTCTCAGCAATAATGAAAGAACAAACAATTGGTCCACAAAACCATATGAAGAAATTTTCAAGAATTATTCTGAATGTAAAGGTCATCCATTAAATGATTCAATTTATATAACATTCATGAAATGACAGAATTATAGAGAACTGCTTAGAGGGTACCAAGGATTATGGAGTAGGCGGTGGGACTGAAGTGGGTATGGCTATAAAACACCACCTTGAGAGCTAAAGGGGTACAAGGTGTAGAGCCCAGTATTAAGCAGGCAAGAAACATCTTAGAGAGGTAACGCCCGAGTATGGATTCAAGGAATTAAAGAATGAGGTCTGAACTTACCTGTGGGAAGAACCCTCCAGACAGAGGGTTCAGCATGTATAAAGACCCTAAGGAGGCCAGTTTGGCTGGGAAAATGTGAATAGAGACAGCCAGCAATAGGACTGGGGGTCAAGGAGGAGGCTGGGGGTAGATCATAAAGGCCAAGGTAGAACACTGTGAGGACTTTGGCTTTTATCATCAGTGATATGGGCTGTTTAACTGAAGAGAAGCAAGAAGTTTGAACAAGCTGCTTATTATCTAGAATTAATTATTCTGTCATGATGAGAGGCCCTGCTCTTCCCAAGAGACCTCTTTTCTACTTACTTCCACATGCACCATGAAATCTGCCACGTGGCCTAACTACATATGGATATTTTCAGCAAATCTCTGTCTCTGTGTGCATAAGGATTTAAGGCAAGGAAGCAAGCAAAAATCACTATTAGAAATACTATGCCGGGGACACTAAGATGTACAAAGCATTTGTTTTCCCCCAACATCATTCTATAGTTGAGTAAAAAAGAAAATGAAATTGAAAAAAAAAAAGAACAGAATATGGAAATGACCTAAGAAACATCTAGCAGGTTCTAAGGTGCAAAATAATAGAATAAAAATGATAAATTTTAGCAGAACCAAATAGGCAATTCCTTATGGGGGAGGCATTCAAACTGAATCCTGAAATGTATGCAGGATTTCACCAGGTGTACTTGAGATAAAAGCCTACTCGATGCAGAAGAAATTTTACTTAGATGGAGGGTCAGAAACATACTTTCAAGAGTGAATTTAGGTAATATTAATTTTTTCATATATTCTTATCAGTTTTGACACTTGTACATAAGATTAATATGTAGATGTTACAAGATTAATTAAATAGAAATAATGATATTATAAGAAATTCCACTTCAATTTTAAAATATTCACTTAGGAATAATTATTTTTATAACTCAACTTGACTTTCCAAAATATTTACCCTAAAAAACAAAGATCACAGTTCATAAATTTTCTTATGAACTCAGGAAATATATGGAATAAGATTTTATATATTATAGCAGAAATATTATTCAGGTTTTTCAATGAATATAATGTTCCTTGTTATGACTAGATAAGTTAATTTTCTTATATAGCTTTAGCAAGTTATTTTAAACTAACAGTAAGATACTATTAATCTGTTTTATGGAATATATACCAGAACATGATAAAATACACTAAACCAGAAGGATTATAATGTTGAAAATATGAACTGATCTCTAACTTCATTGTTTTATAAAATTATTGTCTTTTGGTGCCATAGTGATATGCCAATGCATTACAAAAATATATATGGCAAGAACTTTCTCTTTATAATTTTTTAAAAATCAGCACTAAGTCTGATGATATAAGGTATAAGCCAGTAAATAATAAAAATGAAAGCAAAGAAAAATTCTCCCTCCATGTCACTCACGTTTCTGCACATCTGTGGACAAGGCACTAGCTGCTTTGTTTTGGATGATCATTTCAAGAATGTTTATATAGCAAAAAAAAAAAAAATCTTAAAACAAAGAACTGATGCTTCACTCCAGAGCAAAGAGCAGGTTTATTTTCAGGCTTAGAAATTTTTAATAGTGTCTCCTTCTGGAGCAAAGAGTAGATGTGCATATTGTCCAGTCTTTCCTCTGGAGGAAAGTCAGGCATGCTTACTGTCCATTATAAAAGTTTGAGGTCACTAAACTCAGGATTTCTCTCCTGTAATGTACTGCATGGCATATGCAAATGTTATCTGGCCCTCTCCATGCTAGTGAGAATTGGGGTTTGGAAAACTTGTAGAAGAAAATTCTAATACTGCTGTCTACCACTAATCCTGTGAGTGATTAAGTCATGTGTTTCTAATCCGGGAGTCTCGTATCTTCTACCAGCATACATGAAAATATGACAGACAAATGTGTTAATTTGCAAGTAGGTAAAATCTCAGACTCTTCACAGTTTTTGACAATATGATGTTTATCTTAGTATTGAGTGCTTTTGTCTGTTTTTAAAAATATTTTCTTGCATTTCTCACAATGGTTTGTTTAGTCCCTTAACTGTCCTCAAATTAAAGAAACATGCTTCAATTTATCTGTTACCCAGAGTATTAGTGATATTGTTAAGAACAACATTACTTCAGAATTGAAACTATTAAAGACAGGCAAAATTTAATATGTACAATATTCTTACTCTAAGAAAAACCTAACAGTTCCTTTTGTTTGATTAGTTTTTTTTTTGTTGTTGTTGTTTTTTTGATTTTCAATGATGCCATTGGAATTGAGTGTTGTATTCTGGAAACAATTCAACTAACTGAAATTGATAACTTTGTGAAAACATTAATGATCTGTTCATAAGAGATTCTTAAAATATTTATTAGGTTTTTAGAGGCACCACAAAAAAAGGGAACAAGCTGTATTTTGCTGATATATGGAACATTAAGAATCTGCTCATAGACAGCATACGGTTAAACTGTTATTTGTTTCTTGATTCAAAAAAAAAATAAGCCTTGGTCTGGGGTTGTGGCTCAGTGGCAGAGTACTGACTAGCCTTACACGTGTGAGGTACTGGTTTTGATCCTCAGAAACCACATCAAAATGAATAGACAAAATAAAGATATTGTGTCCATGTATAACTAAAAATATTTTTTAAAAAAAATAAGTCTTGGGCTGGGGTTGTGGCTCATCGGTAGAGCACTTGCCTAGCACAGGCAGGTGCTGGTTTCGATCCTCAGAATCACATAAAAATAAATAAATAAAATAAAGATAATGTGTCCAACTACAACTAAAAAAAAAATAAGCCGTAGTAGAATATATCAATTTATCTTATCTCTATCTGCCATTATAACACATAATGAAGAGAAACATAATACAAATTATCTATTCCTAAATATTTTTAAAACTTAGGTGCTTAAGGGTTTTCCAGATTAGGGTATTAAATATAGATTCGAATCTCCTCTGTAAAATTACAGTCAAGAAAAATCCTTTTTAAGGCCAAACTCAAACGAGTAAGAATAATAGAATAGATCATAGTAATAGAATTCTGAAAAGTGGGATGCAGGTTGATGTATCAGCTTACTTTGTTTCGTAGAACTGAGACAGCTAAATCCTAAACTAGAACTCAAGAAAAAAAAAATATATATATATATATGTCTCCCAGGATTTGGTGTACACTATAGTAAACTTAGAAACAAAACACACATAGTAGCCTACATTGCCTGAACTTAATCAGCATTTAGTCTTCACAATAGATCTGACAGATTTTTCTTCTCTTATGAGTCATATCACCCAATAGACTCCTCTAGTGCATTGATCATTAACGTTCTTATTCTGAGGGAATTCGAGTCAGTCTGTGACCCAAACACTTTGACTGGCTTTCCTTAAGTTAAATTTGTTTTTGCTACTCTACTTTTCTACAACCAAACAATATATTTGGGGGTTATAACTACATTGTGTATAAAACTATGAAGAAAAAGAAAGAATGATTAATCAACCATGTTACAGGTTGCCACTTGCAGTTCAAGAGAGATGTAATTAAGGAAAGGCATAAGCACTTGTACAAAACTGGTTACTTCTACTTGACCAGGTTAGAACATTGGTATTAACCATTTAACAATATTTATGAATGTTTACAGTCATGTGTATGATGACTTTCCAAAGTCAAGAAGGGGTATTAGACCATTAAAATATGTCACTGTTTAAGGAATCTACAATTATATAAAATTATATAAAATAAAATCTGAAAAGGCAATTATAAGATTATGTGTTGACTTTTACACCCAACCTAGAAGAGCCTACTGAATATTAAGGTTAATATACTTAATAAAACACACTCACATTATATTCCATTATTTTGCTGTTCTATATTTGGATTTGCAGGGTATTTATTATTCTCAAGCACTAATTATATATGGAAAAGAGTTTTTTAAAAAGGTGCTAAATATTTTGAGGGAAAGAAAATGTATAACAAGGGACATTCATACTCAGTTACCATTTTTCCACATAGTATATTTACTTATTTGCTTAAAAATTAGTGTATCATATATTTTAGATTATATTTTTGTTCTAAAATGCTGTAATTTGTTCTCACTTATCTTTAAAAGTTCTTTGGCTGTGTTTAATCAGCCCCTGCTATAGACTATTACTGACACGTTTGGTAAATAGATATAAACTTAATTATTCTGACCCCTGGATAAGGATATAATTACCTAATTAGAAAGAGCAACACTTCATTGAGCAATGCAAACCTGTGACTTTATGCCTGATTAAAAACCTGTTGTGTTTTTTAATAAGTTGATTCAAATGCCATTGAAACCTGTTTTTAAATTACTACTGTCGTTTTATTTAAATCCAGGAGAAATATGAAGACATGAATTGGTGTGAATATACTTTGTAAACAACCAGAGATATGAAAAAAAATGTGCTCTATATGTGTAATAAGAATTGTAAAGCATTCCACTGTCATATATGAATTTAAAAAAAGGTTTAAAAAGAAAAAAAAATCAAGGAGAAAATGACTTATAACTTAATATGCTAAAATCATATTTGTCAAAAAGATGTTCACTTACATACTTTATTATCTCACAGGAGATATTTGATCCTCGAAAAGGCGCTTCTATGTATGGTTTTTGCCAAAGCTAGGGGGTGGGGTTATATATCCAAGTAATAAAATAAGCCTAAAGGGAAGAAAAAGAAAATGTTATTTTCTATATGAAGAGTAGCTCAAATCAGAAAAAACTTGGAACAGTCTCTCAGAAGAAGTAGTTATTTCCTTTTGCCATTTACAAAGATTATAAAAATATATTTAGCTGATGATATAAATGGGAAGAAGGAATGAGTATTGAACAGTGAGGTTTAATAGAAGATGGATAATTAGAGTTGGGTCAAGAGAAAGAGCCACCTGAGATGTAGCAGCAGGAAACGAGAGCTCTACATTACCACTGAATGGAATGAGGTGGGAATTATCAGGTAAGCCACTGCTGGTTCCAAAATTCTGGCGATAAGGGAGTTGGCAGGAGAGGCAAACTCTAGTCTTCTCAGCTGCAGGGCATTAAAGGAATAATGCCTGAAGCTACTGGCAAATCCTCACATCATCAAAACCCATATTTCTCTTTGTCTGCCCTCTAAAATTCAGGTAAATAACATTTAAATGAGAACCTTTTGGCAAGAGATAAATAGTGAATATTTAATATGTAAATATACAATGATGAGCTATGTAACAAAGACAGATTAAATAATATCCAGGTTAGACTAGTAAGTGTGTTATTCAGCTTTTTGTGACTGTGACTAAAATACTTGACAAGAACAATTTGGAGGAGGAGAAGTTTGTTTTGGCTCATGATTTCAGAGAATTCAGTCCATGGTGTGCTGGCTCCAAGGCAGAAACATAATGGCAGAAATGTGTGATGTGTCAGAGGAAAGCTACTTAGCTCTCAGAAACTGGGAAGCAGAGAAGGAGTAAAGCCACTGCTGACCAGAAGGGGCCAATCACAGACATAGACCCCAGTGACCTACTTCCCCCATCCCTGCCTTTCCTACCTGTAGTTTTTTTTGTTTGTTTGTTTGTTTTTTTGTTTTTTTTTTAACCAAAGTCCAGTAAGACCATTCAAGAGCAAGTCCACTGATGCGTTCAGAGAGTTCATGGTCCAATCTTTTCAGCTCTTGAGAACTGCAACGCTGCTTGAACATGAGCTTCTGTTGGGGAGGCAGGGGACATTCCAGGTCTAAACCATTATAGTAAATAGTCCATTAGTTATCAAATATAGCAAGTTCATCAAACAGGGATTAGACATCATGCATAATAAACTATTATAAGTTCTAATTTCAGAACATTATTAACTTGAAAGCCTGACTAACATTTTACATTAACCCATGAAATTCATACTGGGAAATAGAAAATATGATTAATTAAAATATGTGTCCAGAAATCTAGAACTCTGAGTCATTGTTTTACATAATTGTAGATATTAATATCTTTAACCAAGACAATTTTTACAAATAATATACACTTTTATAGGTGATGAAACTATACACAATTTTCTCTTCATTTTTCAAAGCAGTTCAGTCCTCTTTTACTCTTATTCTCAAACTTGAAGAGCCAACTAACTGTTGGGCAGGCCCAGGATGGCAATAGTTAGGCTCCCTCACCAAGGCTTTCTGATTGTCTATGTTTTTAGTATGTAGCCAAGGTCATAAACACCCTGATTTAGTATATGTACTCAAAGTTATAAACATTTGCTTGTGAACATGTGCTCAGTTATGTAACCTGTTGGCAATGTGCCTTCTTTGGCCTGCATATAAAAATTTTTAAAAAGGCCTATAGAAATGTCTGGAGGTGGGGCTGCTCACTGGGTACTGTTGCCTCCTCCAGATAAGCACATCTACTATCCCATGGGCACTTCACACCTTCTTTAACCTGCTGCAGGGATCTCAAATCTGTTTCCCAGGATCTGAGCCTCAGCCCAACACCAACCTATCACATTCCTTTAATGTACTGGGAAATGTATCTAGCCTTCTTATGAAACAGTGATGGTTACAAATAGTAAAATTCCATTTTTTACATCATCTCCTCTGTAATCTTCATTCAACAATCTCCAGAGTTCCTAAACTAATAAAAAAATATTCTACCATTCCACTTGTATTTCTTGAAGTACTCTTTTTATGAGAACACATACTAATTTTTATGTCTAGTGCTTTTCTTTATTTTTTATTGACAAGCCAATAGAAAAAAAATAGGTTAGAGAAAAAACATTCATAAAAAGCTTGCAAGGACAAAACTTCTAGAGCTACATTCTACCTGAGTTAAAACACTAGTACTCCCACTTACCAATAATGTCATCTCACAAAGTTTCTTAATATCTCTGGAACGCAGCTGGTTTCTCCTGCTTGCAAAATGAGAATGATATTTATATAAATAATGTCATTGCATGAGTTACATGTATCAATGTTTATAAAGGGCTTAAAATGTCAAATTCATAAATGTTACTAAGCATTTTATCAATAAGATGACATATATATCAAGATGATAGGCTGACCATGATATTTTCTCTCTTTTCCATGTCAAATATATTGAAAGCGAAATGCTATTTTTTAAAAAAAAAGTATAAATTGAAGAGAAATGCAGGAACAATTTTTTTGAAGAACCAAATTAATCTATCATCAGTTCTCAGCAGAAATGAAGCCAGGTAGGAAATGAGCGTCCTATAGGCATACTCCAAGAGCCTGTTGTTGATAAAATATTATTATTAATGCTATACAATGAGTTATAGAGTAGTTGCTGTAGTCCTCAGATTTTGGAAGAAGGAAAAACTCTTTCTTTCTCAATCTTTCACTTTATTTACCAATGATAAGAAGCTCCGTTTGTTCTAAACCTCATTATTGAATAATACTCTAGAGAGATATATTTGAGGAAAAGCAGATAACTCTGTTGGGTCCTGTCTCCTAAGCATTTGAAACCATTCAAAGACACAAAAGTGAAAAATATGGCATTTTGTCTTTGGTAAGTGAATCCTATGCTCTGATTAAATGCTCTCAAAGCTTTTAAAATGAGAAAAAGCATACATGTGTTTACTAACTCAAACCACCCACCAGAGAAATGCTCTTTACATAAAGTTATCCTATGAGAGACTGTATTTAGAACAAAATAAGAAAACACTTTAGGGTTTTTAAAGTTTTGCAGCAGGTATTCCTTTAGCTTATTTCCTTTGAACTTAGATATTCATGGGCAGGGGTGTGGCTCAGTGGTGGAGTTCTTGCCTAGCATGCGTGAGGACCTGGTTCAATCCCCTGTACCAAAAAAAAAAAAAAAAAAAGATTGTTAACATAAATTTAAAGATTTTGTGATGAACCATATTTTGCATATAAATTTATCCTTCCAAGTCTGCTAATTCAGAGCTTTATCACAATTTGTGATTAAATTAAAACTTGGCATCATCCTGAAATATTTGATATCATCCCAAATAAAAATAGGCAACTATTCAGGCTCCTAATTGAAATTTGTATGGGTTCTCATTAAACTGCAGCCAAATAGAGAAGTGTTTTGTGCCTCATGCTCAATTCTTTAGAAAAATTAATATCATATTCATAGATGAAATTTGTACCTATTAATAAAACACATTATCAAGAGGTAACTGTGGGTTTTTTGGTATCATGCTCCAATGACTCCTTGCAATAGCACCATAATGAGACTGTGGGGAGCCCTAGGGCAATATGCACAGTGATGCTGCCTGCTTGCTGTATCTTGCTCTTCTCCAGAAGAACTAATCAGTCATGATCATGGTCTGATTCTTTCTTCAAGGTGGAGAACAGAAATCATTGGCTAATAAACCTGAAAATTCTCAAGCAGGAAAAAAAAATGCAACGAAAACAGACGGATCATTGCAAAATTACTGAAAAGCAAAAACAATGAGAAAATCTTAAAAGCATCAGAAAACTAATATGCTAATATTTATTTTAGTACTTCTAGTAATTGAATCTCTCTCTGGTTTTGTTTATTTAGAGTGCTTCTGTTCCTATATAAGACTTTCCTGAGTACAGTATTCTACAAAGGCAGTTACTGTCTTCCAACTTTCAAAGACCTCATTCAGTTTTCACTGGTCTTGCTTTTTGTTTATTGAGATGCTAGCTCTTTCTTATTGTTCTTTTAGGGTAAAGAGCACATTTAAAATCTGTGCTCTTTACCCTAAAAGAACTAGGATGGCCCAGTTTTTGCAATATTAGCAATCTTTAAAGTACCAGTGACTTCATACAAAGTCCCCCAAACCATCCAGGACTCTCCTCCACATATTACTTTAAGTAACATGACCTCTTTCATGAGTTAAGATGAAGTAATTTCTGTATTTTTCTGAAGTGACTTTAAATTTTTTGATATTTTGAATTCCAATTTTCTTTATATGAGAGTAAGATAAATGAACACAATATTTATTATTCTTTCTGAGAACAACATCATCTTAATTTTCAAAACAAAAGCAAAAACAAAATTACAAACTTCAAGAGATAGCAATAGAAGTCTTTTCAAGTGCATAAGAAGATGAAAAAGGTAACTTTTTCTGTCTTGTTCCAAGCATAGTAGAAATTCTTCCTTAAGCTAAGCTACCCTCATGTGACCTGGCAAGGAAAACCTAGGATGCAGCATCCTGAATGTGGAGTGCTTTATGAGCTTTTAGTTTTTAGGAGAATGGGAAATCCATGTTTTTAGTATTTTCCTGAACATTCAACTACTTGTATTTGTAAAAGACTTTAATAGTGGTCGTAAATGTTGTCTGGATATTCCCTGTGGCATCTCAACCTTCAGGAAAATCCATAACTGCCTTTAGCAGAAACCCCTGTGTCTTAAAGTTGGAAGGGTAGACCTTAGATTTCCAGTGTCATCTGGAAGATTTTCATGTGATATCTGACTTAGCTTGGAAAATTATTTTGTTTCCTATTATGATCTGGCTGCCCTGGAAGAATTTGAGGATCAAAAACAATTTTTTTCTTATTTCCTTATCTTTAAATTCTTTATCTAGCATTTCATCCATTTTAATATCTTTGGAGTCAATATCTTTGCTGTGTTGGGTTTTATAGAACAGTGGGGTGGATTTCTCTCCCACTCTTATGGGAGGGCCTGCCTTTTTAGGGCACAGCCTTCTTGTGCCAAAGTGTTTTAGAGTGATCTAGTTTGGGGCCACTTGTAGGTGCCACATCTATAGATTTTGTGTAGACCCTTCCAAAGAAAAGGCAGGGGAAAAGAACTACATTTTAAAGTACTAAAAAATGAGCAAAGAAACAAATATGTATATTTATATGTGTCCACAAATGAATCAGCCCAGAAAGAATACATGCACACGTTATAAAAAAAATAATGAAAAAGTTAACTACATTGGTCAAAATAGTAATAGGATGGATGATTACTGTTTATGCCCAACAATCCTTCTTTCCATGTCTTTTGGACTACATATGTAGAGAAAGAGAAAGAGTAAGGCTAGAGGTTGTTAATCCCTTCCTCTTTTGTGCTGCTTACCAAACTGCCAGAGCTGGAGTGTCCTAAGACTGAAGTCTGCTCAAAATAGCTCTCAGCTTCCCTTCTCACCAGTGTAAGATAGGGTGGGATGAGAAGAATTATCTGCCTGAATTTTGTCTGCACAGACCCTATCAATGCATTCCCAGGGGCTGCTACTGAGTTCTATGAGGGGATTTCTGACTTAGGAACTCAGAGGGGTGGGACTTAGGTCTAATCAGGCCCCAGGGGCTTTGTTGGATGGTGTCTATTCTGGAGAGATTAGATCAACTGGTCTCTCCCTCCAAGCAGTTGCTGATCTCTGTGGGAAGTCTGAATTTCAGAGTCTCTCAAGAGTTCTACTTGAGGGGCAGGAAAGTCAATCCTCCACTCACTCCAAAGCCCATGGGCATAGGCTTCCGGGGCTTAGTCCCTGAGCCTTTTATTCACACCCAGAAGTTCAGATTACTCACCTTCTAAAAGCCAGCTGGGCTCCCCTTCATTTTTCTGACTTGTATCCCTGTGGCTACAATCTTTTCTGTGCCTGTTTCACACACACT